AGCTGCAAGGCCGCTCGGCAGGGCGCGGGGGTCGCCGGCCGGCCTTGGTCAGCAGCCGCCGCAGCCGCAGCAGGAGCAGCGCTCTGGGGAAGGGGGCTCGCTTCTCGGGGAGCGCTCCGTGGTCGCCCCCTTCAGGGGGGGTCGTGGCCGCCCCCCAGCCCAGGCGCGCTCGGCTAGCTCCAGCGGGGCTCCTCGGGCGGGGCGCGGGCCTGCGTCCGGGTTCTTTGCTGCCGGGGCGCTCCGGCTCCTGCTCGTCCTCCTGTCCTTCGGCGAGCGCGAACTCTGCCGGGGCGCGGGGCCCAGTCCACCTGCTAAGTGAAGATTTCACGGGAGACAACAAAGAAGGAAGCCGTTTCTTTCTTCCTCAGCCAATTATGGGTGACCAGCCACCGGCCCGTTACTTTCCTCGCTCGCTCTCTTCTCTCCTCCTTAGGTACACATTGACTCGTTTTCCCTTGGAGTAGTAAAACTTTTTTCGTCCTTGAAGGCGTGGTGATGCTGGCTGGTCGCGTGTGCGGAGAGGAGAAGCTGTCTCCTATTCTCCCCCTCTAGTCCTCTCGTTTCAAGTTTTGTTCTGTCCTAGGAAAACTTCTTGCGATGGTGCATTTCTCTGAAGTAACTATTGCCGGAGCTCTTGGTTGCCTCTGAAACAAGAGTCCTCTTTCATTCTCCTCGCAACAGTCACAGTCTGATGCGACATCTTTCCTTTTGGGCAGAAATGAGGAAACACATATAGCAAGGAAAAAATTGAACAGGAGAAAAATGAGGTCGAATTGCTGTTACCTTGTTGCTGACGGTTGGGGCTGGTGTTTTATTTTTTTCTCAGCAGTTGTCTGAAGGAGGAGGAGGAAGAAGAGTGCTTTGGTGGAGGTGGAGGTGTGTGTGTGCATATAGGGGATCCTTGATACACAACCAACTCCAGTGGGCACGTTGCACGGCTCGTAGAGTGCACCGACGGCGTAGGCGCTGGCCGTGCCGGAGCGGAGTTGCAGCGGGAGCTCGCTCTGCGCCCTCGTTCGCGCTCTCTCTCCCTCTCTCACTTTCCCTCTCCCTCCCTCTCTCGCCCGCCCGCTCACACTCCGATCTGACAGTTCGCTCTCCGTCCCTCCCTCTCAGAGCAGGGACTGTCGAATGTTTACCCTCCGCCGCGAGCGCGCACCCACCACCACACTTTCCCAAATACAAGGAAGTCGTGCACCAGGGCCCCCGCTGATTGGCTACCCGCTGGGTGATTGGCAGGCCTGGAATGACTGGCTCAGGACGCGCGGCCCCCCTTCCGGCCGTTCCGATTGGTTGCCTTTTAATTTAGGCAGAGCGTCGTAGAGGCTGGAAATCTGTCGTCCCCTGGCCTCCCCCCCCTCCCTCCTTCTCCACTTTCTCCTCCCCTCCCCTCCCCCGCCTCTCCCTCCGTCACATCTTAACTCTTAATGTCCGGCCGAGGAGTTGGTGTTCCTTCCGCGACTCGGAGCGTTTGCAATAGGTCTGGGAGGGGAGAAGAAGGTGGGGGTAGGGGGTGGAGGGAGGGAGGGACGGGAGAAAAGGGTGGGTGGGAGAGAATCAATAGGAAATGAAGAGATAAAAAAAATCATGAAAAACAGCAACGCACCACTCCACCTAGTACTGCGTTGTGGCCGCCCTTCCCGGCCCCCTGCCCCCATCCCAGAGATCTGTAAAAGCGCGTGGCATGGATGCACCAGTCACCCTAATACCTATAGGCAGATGTGTTCCCAGTGGTTTCAAAGTTTCCTTTTTCTTTCACCAGCTGGCCCCCATCTCTCTCTTGGCGGGGGTGGGAAGGGGGAGCTCACATCGCCCAGAGCTCGGGTCGTGGTCACGCTCCTTGGAAATCCGCCACCGCAACTTTCCGCAGCCGCTTCGCGCCGGCGACGGCCCCCTTTGTTTAAGTTCTCGGATGCCATCATCTGGGAAACCTGCAGTCCAGGACCAGCGCGGTGCCCGCGCGTGCGAGACGGACGGCTAGCTGCTGCTGCTTGCTCTCTCCCCCACCCCCTCTCTGCTCTCTCCTTTTCCCTCCCTTCCTCCCTCCCCCCCCCTCCTCTGGGATTCCTGCAAGTAGCTAGCGTGCCCTTGTGAGTTTGGAGGGTGCCGGTCAGCGGAACCAGGAGATGTATTTGAAAAGCAGTCAACCCGACCTTTCCCCATAGATACATCGTAAGTGTATTCCACCTTAACGGCTTTAGGAATTCCCATTGTAGCTGGAGCCGGAATCCACTAGTCGTGCCCTCCACTGCTTACATGTGTGTGTGTTTGTATGTGTGGACGCAAGCGCGCGTGTAATTCATTTCAGTGTGATTGTTACCAGTGATGGGGTTTTGCTTGCTCACTATCCTTAGGCACGGGGGTGCCTGTTCTTTCTTTTCTGTCTCAGATGGGTTGCATAGTGGATGGGCTGATGGTGACAAACGGTTTCTCAGCCGCTGCCCGGCTGAAAGAGTTAAGGGGGACGGGAGCGGGGTGGCGGGGGG